GAGAGTGGTGAAATCCACGGAGACAGCAGTGACATCACTGGAGACTGTTGACATCACAGGGATAGCAGTGATATCAAAGGGACAGCAGTGACATCACAGGGACATTAGTGACATCAAAAGATACCTGCACCACCTCTGGAGACATCAGTGACATCACAGAGGACCAGTGAAATCATTGGGGATGGCAGTGACATCACAGGGAAAGCAGTGACATCGAAGGGAAAGCAATGAGGTGACAGGCACAGCAGTGACATCATTGGGGACATTGGTGACATCTCATGGGACAGCAGTGACATCACTGGAGACCACTGACATCACTGGGGAAAGCAGTGACATCACAGGGACAGCAGTGATATCACTGGGGACACAGGGACCACCCCTGGCGACAACAGTGACACCACAGGGGCAGTGGTGACATCTGTGGGGACAGCAGTGCCATCACTGGAGACCAGTGACATCACAACAGTCTGGTGACATCACAGGGACTACAATGAAATCAATTGGACAGCTGTGACATCATTGGGAACACCAGTGACATCACAGGGACAGTGGTGACATCACTGGGGATGTTGGGGATGTTTGGGGGCCTTTGGGAGGGCACCTGCCTGGGGGGTTTTCATGCGAGCAGGGACGACTCAGCACACCAATGTGATGATCAGAGAGCACCGTTGATTGGAATCAAGCAGCAGTCTTTTATACAGTTTTCTAACAATACTCTTCTATCAGCTCTGTTTATTTAACATTCTTTATGTCCTTTCCCGCTCTGATAGCCGGTACTGAGACCCTGTTTTCTATATCCAGTTTTGCTACTGCTTCTCTTGGTAGATCTTTCACATCCTGGTACCATCAGAAGGCCATCAGAACAACAGATCATGTTTTCACAATTGCAACATAAGGTTATGATCTCAGAGCTGCAGCATATCCTCTGTATTAGCACTAAAAATCCCTACACTTCCCCCTTTTTCTTTAAACAAAGCAGATACAGTTTGAGCCAATAAGTTGCAAAAACATTGAACCAGACATGGCAGAAAAATACACACTCCTGGAAGCAGAAAGACAACGGGTGCCAACCATTGTACAATTTGCATAAGCTGATTCTGGGGGGCTTTGGGAGGGCACCTGCCCTTCAACACCAGGACTGCAGAGAACTGTGAAGCTTTACTGGGAGCACTGAGAGCAGGTGGCTGGTGTGAGGACAAAAGCAGGGCCGGGGGGACACGCGACCCCCCCAAACTCTGGGTGGGGAGTCCCAGCTGGGTTCAAGGCCATGGGGAGGGGCTGCGGCCGCCGCCAGCTCAGGAGCTCTGTGGGGAGAGAAAAGAGAGTGACAGTGGGCTGGGGGGGCCCACATGCTCTGGGGAAGGGGGGACACGACCCCCGGGGACCCCCCTTTACCTTCTCCCGCAGGTAGAAGCCGAGCCCCAGCGCCAGGAAGACCAAACCCAACACGAAGCCCCCGACCCCCACCAGGACCTTGCTGCGGACGGTGTCCTGTGGCATCTCTGGGGGGAGCCGGGTGGGTCAGGACCCCCAAAACCTCCCATAGATCACCCAGGCCCCCACAAACCCTGTTCTAGTCTCTCTCAGCCCACCCAGAACCTCCTGAAACTTCCTGCCAGTCCCTTCTATACTAGTTCGTTTGAATCCATGCCCAGAATAAAGACAAGTACAGCAGGCATTCAAACACTACAAAAAAATCTTTTATTGCAGTGAGAATAAAATTTATAAAAACTATTAGAAAAGAGAATCAAAAGTTGAAAAAACCAAAACCACTACTTTATCAGTTGCCATGCATACAATACTAAGGGAATTAAAGGGATAATAAAAAAGGAAATAAAATGTTTGCTTTCTTGGTTGCTTCCTATCAATAAACTGTGCTCACCTGCACAGACAGGCCAGGCCTACCAGGCTCTGCAGGGCTGGTCGGTGCCCGTGCTTGGCGGGTGTCCCTGCAGAGCAGCACAGTGTGGATGGAAGGATGAGCATCGCTCCACCCAGCAGTGCTGACACCCCATTCCATCAGCTCTACATTACACTACGTAGGGCCAGGACGCAGCAGAAGGTGGTGCTTGAGTGGCAGCCAAACAGCGCCCGTTCATCACCTCATGGCAACAGTCTGGGCGTGCCCCACTGTAGGGCAAGGGGCCAACGACCCCTGCCCACATCATCTTCCTCTCCATCATCTTCCTCAGCCTTATGGATGACCTATACGATTGTGTTTCAAGGGGATTTGTATCTCTCTTGCAGAGTGGAGCCAAGCCAAGGAGGAACTCAGCTCTGATAACGGGGGATATCCAATTAAAATTGCTATAGACACAGTGGGCCCTACAGTGAACTTGTGCAACAAAGTCACATTGTACAATATTCTGGCTGGTTTCACACCCCAATATAATCACTTTCTCACCCCTCTATGCTCCACTGATCATCTGAATCAAAATTCCCCCCCTCACACCATGGTAACCATTATACATTCTCATTGTTACCCTGTTACCATGGAACCATTGTGCATTCTCACTGTGACCTCACTTACCATAGTAACCATTGTGAATTCTCATTGTGACCTCGGTTACCATGGCAACCATTGTGCATTCTCATTGTGACATCAGGTGCCATGGAAACCATTATGTATTCCCACTTTTACCTTGGTTACCATGGCAACCATTGTGCATTCACATTGTTACGTTGCTTAGCATGACAAGGATCGTGCATTCCCATTATTACATCGGTTATCATGGCAACCATTGTGCATTCTCACTGTGATCTCTGTTACCATTGTGTATTCTCACTGTGACTTCGGTTACCATGGCAACCATTATGCAGTCTGTTACATTGGTTACCATGGCAACAATTAAGCATTCTTATTGTGACGTTGGTTACCATGGCAATCATTGTCCCTTCTCATTGTTATGTCACTTACAATGGCAACAACTGTGCATTCTCATTGTGACCTTGGTTACCATGGCAACCACTACATATTCTCATTGTGAATTTCGTTACCATGGCATATCTTTTGCATTCTCATTGTTACCTCGGTTACCATGGCAACCATTATGCAGTCTCATTGTTACGATCGGTTACCACGGCAACCATTATGAAGTCTCATTGTTACTGTGGTTACCACGGCAACCATTATGCATTCCCAGTTATATCATTTACCATGGCAACCATCTGTAACACACAGATAATACAGAAATGCCAAAAATTGTTTCTGCCTGTCAAAAACTTCCTATCAAACACTCTCTGTCAGCTCTCTGACAGAAGTTTTCACAAGGACTTCCCACGGCACTTTTCCTGCCAAAAAATCCTGTTATATGTTTATGGTTATCAATATCTCCTCCAACATCGGAACTGGTTATGTGCCAAAAAACCACGCTCAACCTCCTTTGAACACTATAATAAAGTTGAGGACAAATTTTGGAAAATCAGGGAGAGGAAAGGGAGAGAGAACTGGTGACTGTAGCCGAGAATCTCTGCCCACCTCCCCTCACCTTTTCTCCACCACCGCGTGCTGCCTGCCTGCCACCGGAGACTGCAACTGTGCCGGCCTGGAGAGAGCTGAGACCACCGTGCCACATGTGGGAGTTCTACCTTATCCTTCTACCCTGACCATATTTCTGAGGGCCCAAAGCTTCGGCTGAGCTGAGACCCTGCACGGCCTGGGACAGGGGTGTGAGTGGTGAAACCACACATGGTGCATTGCAGAGAACTAAAGCTGTCAGACCCCCTGCAGCTACAGAGATAACATCCAAAAGCTGCAGAGACAGAGAAAAAAAAGGCAGAAACTGCTTCTCTTCCCCCACACACAGACCAGCTCAGTGGGAAAAAGAAGTTTTCAGTGATATCTTTTTTCTGCTTCTAGAAATAATCTTAGCAGTTTCCAACCTTTTCTTATTTTTCCTTTTACTTTGCATCTCTTAGACATTAATAAAAATCAGTTTTTGGTATCAACAGATAAATTGTGTAATTGTGTGAGTTTTAGTTTTGCTTAAGGGAATATTTGAATCTCAAGTTCTTTCTGCAGTATTTAAGCAGATTGTAACAGGAGACCATGGAAAAGTGGGAGGAACAGGGAGAAGGGTAGAAAAAGGGGGGTGGTCTACACAGTCTGACTGTACCATAGGGGTCTTTGGGCTGAGGGGTGTTGGGAAAAGGGGTTGGCTCCCTGAGCTTCCAACTGACTGTGGGCTGCTGGGGCTGCTCGATCCAATCTCAGCCTTGGGTTATGCCAACACTTTCAGTTTAGAGGAATTACAGAGGTGGGACTGAACCACTTTTGTCCCCCAGGTTTTAAGGGTGGCAAATCATATCTATTGATAGAAATGAATTATTTAGGGTAACAAATGATCAGAGAAAAGATCTTCATCAGAATTATTTACTGCACAATAGAAACACTAAAACTACCAGTAGGACAGCATAAGATAGGACAGTGCTCTACACTAAAGCAATTGTTGAAGCAATTCTACTCAAGCTGGCACCAAAGCAAGAATTATGAATTAGAGATGGATGGAACTCCCCCAGACCAACGCTCGTGGGGAGATCTCTGCTCTCAACCTCCAGTAGTGACCTTGAGGGGTCCCCAGCCAAGGCAGGAATCTCCACACACCCCCAAGAAGGGTTCTGTTGGCACAACCTGCCCCTGGCAAAGGGGACTGGCCCTTTGTGGTAGAAAGGGATGGATGGACAGTCACTGGACTCCAGGGGTTGCCTCATCATCAGGGGGGTCATTCGGGGTGGGAGCAGCGGCCAAAGCTCTTCCCGCAGTCGGGGCACTCGTGAGTCTTTCCTTACCGGTGGGTCCGTTGGTGGGAGTTCAAGTTACCTCTCTGGGTGAAGCTCTTCCCACACTCCCCACACTTGTAGGGCCTCTCCCCGGTGTGGATGCGCCGGTGGGTGATGAGGGTGGAGTTCCGGTTGAAGCCCTTCCCGCAGCTGGTGCAGCGGAAGGGCCTCTCATCTGTATGTGCCTGTTCATGCCTGAGGAGATCTGACCTGCCCCTAAACCTCTTCCCACATTCCAAGCACTTGTAGGGCCGTTCCCCTGTGTGGATGAGCTGGTGTTGGATCAGGCTGGAGCTCTGGCTGAAGCCCTTCCCACACTCCCCACACTTGTAGGGCCTCTCCCGGTGTGGATGCCCCGGTGGGTGACGAGGTGGGAGTTCTGGTTGAAGCCCTTCCCGCAGTCGGTGCAGCGGAAGGGCCTCTCCCCTGTGTGTGTCTGCTCATGCCTGAGAAGATGCGATCTGGTCTGAAACCTCTTTGCACATTCCCCACACGTGTAGGGCCGTGCCCCAGTGTGGATGTGCTGGTGGGTGAGGAGGTGGGTGCTCCTCCTGAAGCTCTTCCCACATTCCAAGCACCTGAAGGGCTTCTCCCTGCTGGGAGGCTGCTCAGGAACCACCAGCTCAGAGCTCCGGCTCAAGCTCCGGCCGCCTTCCTGGCACAGGACGGGTCTTTCCTCCTCAGAGCTCCCTGGGCTGGCTTTGCAGCCCCTCCTCTGGGGGCATCTCCAGGCCTTTTCCTCCCCTCTGCCTTCCTGTGCTGGGGAGCCCTTCAAAACGGCCTCTCCCACCAGGCTCTGCCGGGGGGATTTGTCCTCCGTGCTCTCCGTCCTCAGCTCGGGGCCTGGGGCAGGAAGGAAGAAGGACAGGCAGGGGATTTGCCTCCGGCCCAGAGGGAAGGCCAAGGGCATCCCCCAAAATCCAGCCCCAGCAGGACGGCGGCACCAGCGGGGTTGTCCTGCAGCCGGGGGCGATGCTCGGCTGCCACAGGCACCACAAGACAGGGCCAAAGGGGCACTGACTTCCTCCTCACCTGCCTGGGGGGCCCACGGCTTTTTCCTCTTCCTTGCAGCCTCCTCCTCCATCTGCCCAAGCTTTGGGAAGGACAAATCCTGCTGGGGGGAAACAAGGGTTGAGTGCGTTGGCTTGGGGGTTCCTCCTGGCCATGTCCATCTCCAGAACTCACCAGGTATCCTGGGACCATAAAAACCTCCAAAACACCAAAGGTCCCCCCCAAAAAACCCTCCCCTAGAACTCCAAGATTCAGACCACAAAAAAAAACCCTTCCAGGAGTTCCCCCTCTCAGGTAGCTTTGGGGTTCTGGGGGGTCCCCCCTGTTTGGGCTGCTGGGGGGGTCCCAAGCGTATTGGGGGAACCTCCTCTCCAGGGTCCCTGTCCTCTCTGGGTTCCTGGGGGTCCTGGAGTTCCCCCTCTCCAGGGTCCCCCTGCTCAGGGATGTTGTGGGTTTTGGAGGCCCCAGGGGTCCCTCCTCCCGACTCTTTGCTTTGGGGTGCTGGGGGTCTCAAGGGTCCCATCTCTCTGGGGTCTCCCCCTCTCCAGGCTGCTCTGGGTCCCGGGAATTCCGGGAGTCCTCCTTCTCCACGTTCCAGGGGTCTCAGCAGCCCCCACCGGCTGTTCCTCCTCCTCTTCCCGCTCCTCCTGGCCTGGAGGAGCCCACTTGCCCGGCCAGTCCCGGTTTGCCAGACTCCAGACCCCTCTTTCTTTGACTCCAGGACCCCTCTACCCCCACTTTCCTCACCATCCCACCTCTCCCAGTCCCTCCATCCCCCTGTTTCCCTCACTCTGCGGACCCCCAGCCCCCCATTCCTGGCTGGCCATCCCTTGGCACCTCAGCCTCAGTCCCCCTTTTCCTTGACCCCAGGACCCCCTGAAGCCCCTTCCCAGTTCCCACAGCTTTCCCAGTTTCTCCCTTCCCTTGACCCTGGGACCACCCTGACCCCCAAATCTCTGAATCTCCCCAGTTCCCCACTCCTGGCTTATCCTGCAGGGTGGTCCTGGGGTGTCCCAGGGACCCCCTGAACCCCCCATTCCTGTACTCCAGATCTCCTCTGCACTCCCTTATCTGGGATCAGGACCCCCCTGTACCCCTTTCCCAGCCATCCCACCTCTCCCAGACTCCACACTCCCTTTTCCTTCACCTTGGGACTCACTGGACCCACATTTCTGGGAATCACGACCCCCCGGAACCCCCTTTCCAGCACTGGGACTCTCTTTCACCCCTTCCTCAGCTCCAGGACCCCTCAACAAACCCTTTCCCCGCCATCCCGCCTCTCCCAGCTCCCAGGCCCCTCTTTTCCATGACGCTGGTTCTCCCTGGATCCTCATTCCTGTCTTTTCCAGACTCCTTTTTTTTTGTTGTTGTTTTTGAACACCGGGGGACCCCCTGAATCCCGTTTTCTGGACGTTCTCCCAACCTCCCCACGCCCCTCCCTTTCCCCGACACCGATGAACCCCGTGCAGAGGCTCTTCCTGGACCCCCCATCCCACCTCTCCTGATCCCTGCCCTCCCCTTTCCTTGGCCCTGGGATCCCCTCCAACTCCCCTTACCCTTGGCATCATACTGGTTTCATACTGGGAGCAAGTGGAACCACGTTGGAGGGAACTGGGATCATACTGGGAGTGACTGGAAGGAACTGGCATGACAATAGGTTCATTTTGGGAATGGTAGGAAGTGACTGGGATCATACTGGAGATGACTGGGACCATACTAGAACTAACTGGGATTACAGTGGGTGTGAATGGAACCTTACTGAGGGTTACTGGAAGCCTCTTGGCATATGCTGGGAGCAAACTGGCATCAACTGGAAGATACTGGAACCATGTTGGAGGGACTGGGACCACAGTTGGGGCAGTTGGAATCATACTGGGAGAAACTGCACCCACACTGGGAGTCTCTGGAACCATATTGGTGCTGAGTGGGACCACACTGGCAGCAACTGGGATCAACTGGGACTGACTGGGTCTACAATGGAGGCAACTGGGAGTGTCTGGCACCCTGCTGAGGGAGACTGGGATCATACTGGACTCACACTGGGAGTTACTGGCACTACACTGGGGCCAATTGGGACCATGTTGTGGGCAAGTAGGATATAGTGGGAGCAACTGGGCTCATCCTGGAGGTGACTGGGCTCATACTGGGAGTTACTGGGCTCTGGGAAGCTCAGGATGGGCAGGGCAACCTCCCTCCCACTGCTCTGCATTCCCAAAATCCTTGTTCCCAGTTCCCACTCTGGCCCTGACCAGCAGATCTGCTCCAGGATCCCATTCCCTGGGGGCACTTCCCTGCCCTCTCCCTGCCTTCCTGCTGCTGGAAATCAGCACTTTGGAGCCTCATCCCATTGTTTCCTCCTGCTCTGCCCTATTATTATTGGGATCCCCCTGCACCCCTTTTTTCCCAGGCACTGGGACCCCCTACCAGGTCATTCCCGGTTTTCCAGCCTCCAGATCCCCCTTTCTTTGATTCCTGGGGGCACAGGATTCTCCCAGTTTTCCCAAAATTAAGGATACAGAGCATTCCCAATTTTCCCAGTTTGGGTCTGGAGGCACAGGATTCTCCTGATTATCTAAAAATTAAGAATGAGAATCAGAGAACTCCCAGTTTTCCCAAAATTAGGGAATGGGACATGGAGCATTGCCAGTTTTCCCAATTTGGGTATAGAAGCATAGAATTCTCCCAGTTTTCCCAAAATTAAGGACATGAAGCATTCCAAATTCTCCCAGTTTGGGCCTGGGAACACAGGATTCTCCCAGTTGTCCCAAAATTATGGAATGGCACATTCCCAGTTTTCCCAGTTTGGGTCTGGGGGGCTGTATAGGGTTTCTGTGGCCAGGTTTTGGTATCGGGGGGGCTCCAGGGTGGGTTCTGTGATCAGTTTCCAGAAGCTTCTCCCGTGTCCAGCACAGCCATTGCCACCCTGTTGGGGCTGCTGAGGGTCCTGCGTGGACTGGGGGTCCCCCCTTTCTGGGCTGCCGGGGGTCCCGTAAATCCCAGAGGTCCCCCCTCTATGGACGCCCAACTTTGGGGTTCTGGGGGTCCCCCTTCTCCGGGCTCCCAGGGGTCCTGGGGGTTCCCACTCTCCGGGGTCCCGTTTAGTGTTGCCAGGGGGGTCCCAGGGGTCACTTCTCCCGACTCTGCCTCCCGGGGCCGGGGTCCCTCCTCTCTCGGCTCCCGCCCTCTCAAAGCTCTTGCGGGTCTCGGCTCCTACCCAGTCTCAAGGCCCCCCCTCCTCTCCAGACTCCAAGGGGTTCCCCCTCTTCGCGACCCCCGTTTAAGGGGCCCGGGTTTCCCTGTGTGCTCCCCCCACTCCCGGATTCCGGGGGTCCCCCAGCTCCGGGATCGTCCCCTCCGCTCTCTCCACTCCGCGGCTACCGGGGTCCCCCCTGGCTCTTACTTCATAATATTGGTCATAATATTGGTGTATTCCTGCTCAAAAGTTTCCAAAGGACCAGGTTTCAATTGACTCCCCTGGCAGTTAGCATGCATCCTAAATTCTTGAGATAAGTTTCCTTTCTAGAAACTATTTTTCCCCACATCATTTGTATGCCTTGGATGCAAAGACTGTGCTTTTAGG